TTTCATATACTGCCTGGTTTGATTGTTGAGGATTTTTCATACATATTTCTAAGCGATTGGTCTGTTTTTTTCTTGTGAAGTTTTGTCTGGCTTTGGTATTAGGGCTGTACTGGTGTTATCTTGGGAAGTATTCTCTCATTTTCTGTTTTTTTGGAAGTGTTTGTAAAAGATCGACATTAATTGTTCTTTTAAATGTTTAAGAGACTAAGAGTAAAACCAACATTGAATTTATTTTCTTGCTGGAAGTCTTAATACTACTAATTCAGTCTTTTATCTTGTCATAGGTCTTCCTCTGATTACTTTTTAGTCAGTTTTGTGAAATTGTTTCTAGGTATTTGTTTTGTCTATGCTATCTAATTTATTGGTCTGTAGTTAATAATAATGTGTTTTTTCTTGGTTAATCTAACTAAAGTTTAGTTAATTTTGTTGGTATTTTCAACGAAACAACTTTTACTTTTGTTGATTTTTTTTTTTTTGCCTATTCTATTCTAAATTATCCTTACAAGATAGTAGAGCACTTTAATACTTACTGATATGTTTAGTGAGTATAGGTGGGTGCACCACTCACACTCTCTATCCCAGCATTAGACCATGACTCAGTCACAAACTCTACATTCAGCTTCCCCCGAAAAGCCCACCACCCCATGACTGCATGAGGCTTTAGGGGGACATCCAGACATAAACCATAACATTGCATGTTGTGTTTAAAGAAATAATTGACTGAAGTTAAAGAGTGAATATGTCCAAAATGGGCACTGCTATTCTCCTATTTGGTCAGTAGTTGAGCCGGGTCTAAGTTGGGTTTTGAATTTTGTTGTTGCTAGTTAATTTCAACAAACCACAGACTTCCCATTTTTCAGTGGTTCATATAACTTTTGCTTAGTGTGAGATTTGGAATTCTTGTTCCACTCTCAGTTTTGAGAAAGTCCTGCACATCTGAACCACACAGAATGTCTCTTTGTTTTTCCAGGTAGATTGCTATTGCCTTGTACTTTATTCAAGGCCTGGAGATACTAGGTTTTCCTGCGGCAGCCTTAAACTTAGGCCTTGTACCCCTGAATGTCAGGGTGGGTTTTTTTTTTTCCAGTACAGAAGTTTATGTAGATCATGGTTCTAGAGGCTGGGAAGTCCAGTATCAAGGTGCTGATATGATAAATGGCATCATGCAGTGAGATGGAGTGGGTATCCCAGAATGGCTGTTAGGGATCCTGTGTCTACCGCTCCCCCGACCAGTTCCCCCTCCGTAGGCTGGTGTCAAGAGGGAGGGGCAGGACAGCTAATAACAGCAGACTTCTGCTTTGCGTTGGTGTAAGATCTTGCACCAAGCAGTGTTCAGCCCCCTGCCCCCACCCAGCAGATAGTGTTTCTTCTACTTCTCTTGTGGTAGCAGTTTATCTCCACTGGTGACCAGGGGGTGGGCAGGTTCCTACCCCTTGTCCGGCAGCAGATGGCTTTTATGTCTATCCCTCTCCACAACAGCTGGGCTTTTTCCTGTGCAGGGAGTAGGAAGGTTTTCTTTCTGGATGTCCTTGATACCTCTGTACATACTGTATTTAAATGGTGTCCTTTTAGAAGGTAATTTCTGATGAACAGTCTGAGCCTTAGGTTTTTAGAGAAAGATGCCCACAGTTTGGTTTTTATTATAATACGTTGATGTGCTTGTTCTTTTCCAGCTTGGGCTTGATCTCCGACTCGTTTCACATGTTTTTCGATAGCACTGCCATTTTGGCTGGGTTGGCAGCCTCTGTTATTTCAAAGTGGAGAGATAATGATGCTTTCTCCTATGGGTAAGACTTCTTAAAATTCATTTTCTTAAAGCATGGGATGTACAGAAAAATACGCAAATCTTAAGGTCAGTGAGTTTTTACAAATTGAACACATTTGTGTAACTTAAAGCCATGAAACCCTTCCTCATACCTCTTCTAGTTCTTTCCAACTCATCTGAGAATAACCATGGGTTTGTTTTGCCTGTTTTAAAACCCTATATAATTAGAATCGACAGTATGTAATTTTATTCACATCTAAATTCTTTGTAGTAAATGAGCACTAAACATTCACTAAAACATTCACTAAACACATTTAGGTGAGATCATTTCGATATGGGAAGATTTCTTACAACATATTTTTTAAGAAAAAAGTGTCAGTGACTAGAAGTGGTGATGTTTCTTTTTTTTCTGATTGAAGGTGTAATTTGCTGTTTATTTATAATCATTTCATAATACAGTTTTATATTAACTTTCTTCAGCTCTGCATTAATATGCATTACTTCTTATATACTCTCACTGATTTGGACAGTTAACTGAATAATTAAATATGCTAAGGGCCTATGTTGGATCACGTTAGAGACAGAGCCGACGTTCTGCTGCTGGCTCTGAGTGGGAAAGCACTGGATTTTCCAGTAGTTGATGTATGCTTTCTGACTGTTCCCTTTCGTTGAGTTCATAGAATATTGTGTAGCATATATGCAAGCAGAACTCAGCACTGATATCTTTTTTCTCTGTCTGTCCCTTTCTCTGTCCTGCTTATTGTTGATTCTTTCTATTTTAAAATTTCTTCTGCTGTGCTCTTCATATGTATGTGCGTGCATGCATGTGTGTGTATTTTCTTTGGGGGAAGATTAAGGAATAAAAGCTGATGGATTATTTGAAACTACGGTGATCGTAGTAGCACACTGGCTCTACCGTAGAAGAAACAGGAGGCCTGAGAGCAAGCAAGACTTTTCAGTATTTGTTTATATAAAATCATCTTTGCATCTTGTCATATTCTTATTTTTGAAAGAGCAAAGCTAGGATAAAAATAGTATGTATTCAGTAGCTAGATGCTTACATACATGTTTATATAATGTGTACGTATAATCGTGCTCTTTTCTTCCCTTTGCCCTAGTTGAAGAGTTCAGACACCAGTCATGCTTAATTAGATAGTAGCACTTTGCTGAATTGCATGCTCTAATTTCAAGACTTGCTCTGTTTAAGTAAGCATAATCATTTGTAAAGGCAAGTGTACCTATTTTTTAGAAGTTTTTCCTGTTAAACCTACAATCAAGTACAGTGGGACATCGGTACTTGACGTTAATTAGTTACAGGAAGTGTGATGAGGACCAAAAGTAGATTATTTTGGCTGGAAAGGGTAGTGAGTCATGAGGAGATCGACCCAGACGAGGTCTTGCTTGAGTGTCAGGCACCAAACAACATCTCATAGTAGGACAGAATACATCAAAACACGTTGAGTGCCAAGTTTGACCAATTCCAAAGCATTCCAGTACCAAGGAATGACGGCAGCCAGGTATACCACAGCTAATTGAATTAGAGTCCGACAGTGCTCCAGAATTTATAGAGCACCCTCACTATGCCAGAAATTAGAAACAAAAAGATGCCGTTCTTGCCTTTGGCCATCAGTCTAGTAGAACTATAGGACAAAAGGTTTTCAACCAAAAAATAACTAAAAGGGTTACTGATACTAAAAGGGTAGTTTTTAAAATCCCTTTGTATTTTTGGACAATAACCGTGGTGACTTACTCGATAAATTGCTAACTGTAGGTTTTGGTAAGTTGGCTGCAAATTATTTTTAATTTAATGTCTTTTCTCCAGAAAAAATAATACATTGTTTGACAAATAATATGTTAGTATAGTTTACTTATTACGCATTATTTCTGAATGTAGAAATACACACTGTGTTAAAATGTGCTTGATAGGACAAACTCCAACATAGCGGGATAGAAGACCTTTCAAGAACTTCTTTTCTTTAAAATATACTTATAGTAAAATTTGTATTATTTAGAAACTGACACAGATGGTAGGAAAAGCAGTTTGATGCTGTCATGATGTTTGAAGAGAGAGTGATTAAGTCATATTAGCACATTTTGAATAAAGTTTGAACTTAGGAAAATGCTGAGTTAAAGTTGTTTCTGTGAATTTAACTAAGCCAGGTATACTGGAAAAATAAAATCTTTCCCCCAATGCTTCACACAGGTAGGAAGCAGAAAGCTTCAGGAGTCCATGGAGAAAAAGACAGGTATTTTTAAAAAAAGTTTAATTAGAATTATGTGAATCTAGAATTTATTCCAAAAATAGGTAATTTGAAAGTGTATGCTGATTTATTAATCTTAGAAAAAGAACAGTACAAATATAAATCTCAAGTTATCCCTGGGATAATTCAGGAATAGTTTCATTTTACTTGATAGCAGACCTCCTCTTCCCGAAGACCTAAAAACTGGAAGGCACAAAGCAAAACATACAAGGGTTTCTTAGAAAAGGAAGAACAAGTATGTTCTTAACACCCCAGTTTCCAGACTCTTCTGCTGCTCTTTATCTGTGGGTCCTTGCTTTGCCTCCTTTGTCTGATCCTGCCCTTTCTCCAGTGGCAACTTGAGATTTAATTTTCTGTGAAAGGTCTTTATAAACCTGCTTATGCTAAGGTGCTTGTTTAACTGGCTTGTAAAAATCTATGTTTTGTGGCATTCGTTTAAATGTAATTCTTAATAAATTAATTTCCTCAATCATTTCTGCAACATATTTAAAAAAATGCACTATACTATAAATACCTGGACTCTGCTGGTATGTGTGAACATATAATATGGTTTAGAATCTCTGAGGTAAACTTGATTTTTAAAGAAATGACACAGTTGCTTGCTGTGCTTCTCTTTAGGTATGTGAGAGCGGAAATTCTGGCTGGCTTTGTCAATGGACTCTTTTTGATCTTCACTGCTTTTTTTATTTTCTCAGAAGGAGTTGAGGTATGGTAGATAATGATTAGTCAGTAAATTATATTTCTGTAATGTCTGTTAGTTAAAGACAGGTAATAAACATGTTTTCAACTGTCACAGTTTACTGAAGTCAGCCTTGGAATAGACAGTGTTGTATGTGACTGAAGCTTACAAAATAGTTGAAAAAAATTAAACGTTAAACTTGAAATTGAAAAAATGAAATGATAGTGCTTTATCAGCCCCGAGGAAAGTGTTGACTCAAATGTGAAGGTGCAAGCTGGGGAGCGAGGTCCCTGGGAAGTGTGATGAGCGTTTCACTAGTTAAGTCCTTACGGTAACTAAAGAATAAAGAAAAGGGAAAGACAGGTGGGTCTATGAAGGGCAGTATTTTAAGATACCAAATAGGAACAAGTTTGGGACCAAAGATTCACACAGTTTACTTATAAATAAACATTTACTTATAAATAGTAATTGTTACTTTTTCTGCAGTGTGTAATCACCCGTTTATTTTTTAAAACTATTTTGGCAGATATTTTTAAGTGCTTTTAATTCTGAAAATTACTCTAGATTTTTAATATTGCTTGTTTGCACCAGTCGGTAAGAAATTATATTGATGCTGTTTGTCTTGTGTATTTTGTAGAGAGCACTAGCCCCTCCAGATGTACATCATGAGAGACTGCTGCTTGTTTCAATTCTTGGATTTGTGGTAAATCTAGTAGGAATATTTGTTTTCAAGCATGGAGGTCATGGACATTCTCATGGCTCTGGTATGATGGTTAGAACCTTTTGTTTCTTCACTTTCTACCTAGTTTGTGTTATAATTATTTATTTTAGAATATTGATAATTTGTAAAGTTAAACTGTGTATGAATTTTAATAACAAAAGTAATATGGCAGAAGACTTACTAATGTCTTCCTGAACTGTCGCTCCTACTGCTCTGTGCCCCTCCTCTCCGTTCCAGTGCCTTCTCAGAGTTGAGCATGTTGCCAGTTTGGTATGAGTCCCTCCAGACCTCTGTAGCTCATTTGTCATTTGATACTATTCATATAAAACAAGCAAATACCCGGTACCGGAGAAAAACCAAAAAAAAAAAAACAAAAAAAAAACAAAAAAAAAAACAAGCAAATATCAGAAAACCACAAAAATTTTATATATGTATATGTGAGAAGTTTACTGTATGATGTTTTTAAGATCTTTCCGTTCAGTGTGTACCAGTGTATCTTGTCTTGTTAACAGCTACTCCATGCTGTAAGTCACCATCATTTCATCAGTATTCTGTGAATAGACCTCAACTCATTTACATTTTTACACTAATCCATACAAGTCCGACTCTTGGAACACAGGCCAAGTGTTTCTCCAGAGCTATGTTGGCCTCTGTTGTCACTGTTAATCACATTAAGATAAAAGTTTAAATTCAACATTTTTGTTAATTAAAGTTAGAAATTCAATTTATCAGTTGCATTAGTGACGTTTCAAGTGCCCAGTAGTTGGCCACACGAGGTTACCATATCAGACAGGGCAGATACAGAACTTTTGCATCACTGTGGAAACTTCTTTAAATTCAGTGTGTTACAGTAAAATAGACTGCTGGAACATAGAATATATACATGTTCAGTTTCAATAGTTGATGCAAATTGCCTTCCAAAATAATTGTCATTTACACTTATTCCCAGGATAAATGGAAGTAATAATTTCTCCCCACCCATGTCAACACTTACTATTATGCTAACAGTTTGATAAAAAGTTAATTTATTTCATATTTCTCTGATAAGTAGTGAAGTTGAGTATCTTCATGGTATTTTTCTAGACTCTTCAGGCTTTTCCTTTTCTAGAATTAACTGTTCATAGTTTTTGCCTATTTTTTTTTCAAGCCGCTTACATGTAGTGTATTTTTAGTGCTGTAAATCTTTAAATGTATTGTAGATATCTTTTTCCAGTCTGTGGTTTGTCTTTAAACTTTTATATAGTGTTTTTAAATTTAGATATAGTCTAGTATTTGTCTTGTATTTTTACTTATATCCTTTTTGCTTTGTTTAAGGAGTTTCCTACTCCAGGGACATGATCATAGTCTCCTATACCAAATCTTAATGCCTTTTGTTAGTTTAATTTTTTTTCCTAATCGTTTGTTTCTCCAAGTTGTAATTTATATTTCACAAGGGAGAGTTGGAGCTTAAGCTTTATTTTTCCTCATTGGTATGAATAAGCAGTTTTACCATCAGCATTTGTTTGTTGGCCATTATTTTCCTAAGCAAACCTTAAAGGTTACCCTGGGGATAACAAGCGCCATCTTGACTTAAAACAGTCTAGTTCCAATGAATTGTAAATCAGTTCGGTAATACAGAAACCCCTTTGCCTCAGCGTGCTTATGTTCTCTTCCCCGTCCTTTGTATTAGTATCAAAATACATATTTCCATGAGCCTATCAACAGTTCATAATTGTTAGTTCATACAGCTGTATTTTAAAACAGAAGATTACAAATAAAAATATGTAGCCCTCCTTCATAACATCTTTCTAGTTAATCTTTGTAGTTATAGATCTATGCTTCATTTTTCTTTGTGTGGCTTGAACTAGTTAGTGTCCTTTTACTTCACCCTTGAAAACTGTAATATATTTTTGGCAAGGGAGTACACATTTGTTCATCTCAAAATATCTTTAATTTCTCTTAAATGCGAGATAAATAAAATGTAGAATTCTTGTCTGAGCTTTCCTCTCCCCATCATGTGATATTCTTCACTGTCTGTGGGCCTCAGTAGTTTCTTTTGAGAAGGTTCATCTTGAAGTACCCACGTGTATAAACTACTTTTCTCTTACTGCATAACTTCCAAGATTTTCTCTTTGTGTTTGATTTTTATCAGTGTGACTATAAGGTCTCTAAGTACTGCTTTATTGGGTTTAATAAATTTTTTAAATCATTTTCATCAAATTGGAGTAGTTTCCATGTGATTTAAAGTGTGCCTGCTAAGGCCAGAGTCCATCTACCCTCAGAAATACTTTCAGTAAGCAGCCTTTTTAAAATATACTGTATGGCATACTTTTCTATCTCTTTGATGAAAACTGGACATTTTGGATAATATGTTGTAGCAATTCTGGTATCAAATTATGTCAGTCCTCTAAAGTTTGTTGTTTCTAATGCTTTTGTTGCTGTTGTGTTTTTCTTTCTGCAAGTCTTTTGTGAACTGATTCAGTGGAGTATGTGTTTCCAGAAATTTGTTGCTATTGTGTTCTCTGCTGGTTGTTTTAAGATCTGGTTTGTATTTTTAACCTGGCTTCCTAAGGGTCACACCTGAACCCATATAATTGAATGGAAAGGTAGTGATTAGTCAGAAGAGTTCTTTGAATGCCTTTCCTAAAATCTGCCACTTTTGTCAAAGGGATCTTTATGAGAAAGTGGACTTTTAAACTTAAGGCAATTTACAAGGCAGCTTTAGGTTTTACTTCCTGCTTATGTAGGGTCTTAGGGTCAGTTAGAGGTAAACAGTGATTTCTCCTTATGCAGATCTTTCTTGGGTCTGTGTGCCACCTTTTGGGTTCTAAGGAGTATGTTAGCGCTTTCCAGAGTTCCTTGTAACTGTCTGATTCTCTGAGAGTCCTTGTAATTCTCAGCCTCTAATCTACCCCAACTTAACCCGCAGCCCTCAGCAGCTGAGGTATGGCTAGGAGGCGGCTACTCTTGGTTATGCCCTATCCCCAGCCCTTGTCCCCATCTCAAGCTGAGCTGAGTTCTGAATCTGATGTTCTCGGGACTGGTAGAAATTTGTTGATGCAAAGCAAGTTTAGACAAAATATTGACTGTCCAGAAAATGGCGTTTTTAAGAAGCGCCGTCAATGATCTGACGTTTGTGTTACCTACAATCAATCCTTCTAGCTTTTGGCTGCTTTGCTTGTGGTCCAGAGAGGAAGATGGAATGGGAGTAACTCCAAGTTAGAGTGTCGGAGGCCCTTGTCTTAACAAGTTTTAGTAGTTTCTCTTGGGTAGATTTTCAGTAGTTTTGATTAGTGCCAGGGTTCTGAAACGGATTGTACTAGAGTTGTTTTCCTGCGTTTTCGTTGTTTTAGAGGAGAGGTAGTTCACAGGGGTCTCCTCTTCACCCTTTTGGAAGGTGATCGCCCACAGCTATGATCTTCCCATGTGAGGCAAGGCTGGATTTGACTTTCTGGTATTTAAAATTTTTGCAAGTGTAACTGATATTTTTAAATTGTTTATCGTTCAGGATCTGTTTTTCTCCCCTGTGCTTTTGAGTAGCTAGCGTAAGAAGTTTCTTGATGGATTTTTACAGAATGTGAAGAGGATTCTTTATTCTTTTCTGTTTGTCCTGTTCTGCCTGCTTTCATTTGCTTCACTGGGCTTTTGCTTTTGTGATTCTGTCATACGTACTAAACGTGTGCTCGTTTTTATTCACTGTTTTCTTGGTCATGCAGATGATGAGTTTCACTGTGGCAGATTGTACATACGCATAACACAGTTCTTACCCCGGTGAGAAAAAAGGTCACAAAAACGTGATTCATGAAATTGCCAAGCCTACCATAGAGCTGATACCATAGAGAACTGCAGAAGCTTACTGTTGAGAGGGAGCAGCAGGAACAAGAAATGTTACTAAAAAGACACAGTGCCGTTAATCCCCACCTCCATACTCTCTTTCACTTTAAGTATATTTATCCCGTCATCCTCACCACTTTCTGAGGCAGCTCTGGAAGTCCTCTTTCGTGGGTGTCTATGGGGTGTGATAAAAAATGCGGTAAATGCTGCTGCTGAGTGCCATCCAGTGGAGATGTTACCGGATTTGGGGGTATTGGAGTGTCCTTCTGGAGGTGGTTTCTAGGTTCTTGCTGGCCTAAGCAAAGAGGTGGCCAAGATAAGTGTAAATGGTAGCAAGGGTTTATTGAAGGTGGGAAAGGAAACAGGCTCTGCAGAGCGAGTGTGGGCCAAGTCAAACTAGGAAAGCAGCCCCCCTATAGCTCGAGGGTGGGCCCTCCGTGCAACAGGGAACGCAGTGGCAAAAACCCACGGGGGGCTGTCCTGTGTCAGCCGGTCCTCAGGCCCAAATCGGGTCTAGGCCTAGGTCCTGTGAGACACCTGCTTTGTTCTCATGAGAAATCCACGTTCAGAGCTTTTGGAATTGCTCTGTACGAGCTCTTTCCTCTTTTCTCTTTTGACTCTCCTCCCGATCCTGATTGTTGAACACAGAAAAGGCCACATCCAGCAATTGGGTCTTAGGTGTCGGGGGACCCACCTGAAGTTTCTTTGTTAAACAGATGGCAGAGACCCATAGCCCCCTGAGAGACAGGTGGGCTACCTGAGGACAGGACCGTCAGAGGTACCGCTTTCTTCTCTGGGGTCCAGTCTGTGTACCATATTTTGGGCTTTTCCTGAGATAAAGGGTCACAGAAGCCTGAACGTAAGGGATTTTATTCCACCTTTTACGTTTTAAGCAGGAACAGTTTACCTGAAATGTACTCATAATTTAAACTGCCTTCTTGAACCCGTCTCTCGCCATTTCCTAGTTCATGTTGAACCCAAACCGCATTGCAGCAGTCCATACACGGTTCCTTTGTACAAACTGATAGGGCCAAATCTTTCCCATTAATCCAGGAAATGCCCTAGGAGAATCTGCGTATGTGGTTCATCCAGTTTCCCAGGGCTCATCTTGGGGCCCTGAGAGAGAGACAGCCAGGTCTTGGGTCCTTCAGATGGCGTGCCCTGCAGAAGGAGGAGGTTGATGAGCCCACAGCACGTCCCTTGTGAGACTCACGCATTTGCTAGGCAGACCTTTCTGTCTAGAGCTAGGGTGCTGCCAGCATCTTTCATGGAAGCATAGAAGAGAGCCCCTCTCTGTCCTGGGCCACTAACTCCTTAGGCAGAGGGCTGGAGCCCTTTGATGGCTCTGCCTGGTCCTGCAAACTCCCGTGAGATCAGAGTGGAGTCTCTCCCCACTGAGAGCCCCCTAGCCACGCTGAGCCGCTTGATGGCTCCACTTAAGCAGGGTGGAGCTCTTTGGGAAACAGTAACCCCCACATTTACCCCAGAGGAAAAACTGGTGCTTTTAACTTTTTTCAAAATAAAAACCTTTAAAATACTTAGGGATGAGAATGGTTTTTCTTTGACTCACAGTCCCTTGAGTTAAACTTGGTTGGATGTTCTTTTGTTCTGTTCCCGGTGTCAGGCATGTCTCTGAATTACTTGTGTTTTATTAGAAGAAACAAGGACGGGAAGCAGACTGGGTGGAACCCGTATTGTACATGTGATGAGACAAGGTGGCCACTCTGAGGAAAAAGCGGCCATCTAGGCAAAATGTATGGAGACTTGAGCACAAAAGGACTAATTGTAGTGGGCAGCTTGAGTCCAGAAGGCATGCTAGATTCTAGGTCACGTGCACAGTACCTGAGCAGTGTGTCCTGCAGCTGGGTTAGTGACTGGTTCTCTGGCTGTGCTTCATTGGCTTGTGTCCGAGATGAGTGACCAAAATGGGAAAGAGAAGAAAAGGGAGATAAATTTCAAGTGGGCATGTAGGACTTTACTGGTGAGTGAAAAGGAAAAGAAAAAACAGAGCCGTGCACTCTCCCCCACCCCATGAGCTGGAAGCGGCACACAGTTCCCGATGCCAGGCCAGTCCGGGTTCCCCAGCCTAGGCTAGAGAGACAGAAGACCAAAGAATGTGCTCAGCGGGCTTTTTTTTCTGCTCCCCTGGCCGGCTGAGCCTAAAGTATTGGTTAGCTTTGGGCGCTGCAGTCTTCTGGAGGTGATTTCTAGGTTCTTCCTGTCCTGAGCAAAGAATTAAGATGAGCGCAAATGATCACAAAGTTTTATTAAAGGTACGAAAAGAAACAGGTTCTGCTGATTGAGTTTCAGCCAAGGAAAGGTGGAAAAAGAAGCGGGCCCTGCAGTATGAGGATGGGCCCCTGTGGCTTGTCGTGTGTCATTAATCCATTCGTGTCCAGTGTGTGTGGTATTCTGCAAGGTTTTGTTTTTGTCCTGTGCATTTTACTGCTCTATCTACAGTGCTGCTCGCACAGTGTGTTCCAAATGCGTATTATTATGAGCAAGCAGCAGAATTTCTAATAAACATTCCTGTGTATTTCCAGTTAGCACTCACTTCATTTCCACTCAGGTCTGATACTTCCCTGTGTGCTTTCGTTTTTTTCTTGTACTCCATAGTAGGAACTTGGGAGCGTTTTGATAATCTGTAGCACTTTTTTAAGTGTTTGTTGTATTGATTGTGGGTTTATAGGCGATTGTTTTCTCTGTGTTATCTTACTGTAATAACGTACGCACTTGTACCTACCCCTGGCCTAATCCTCTTTGTTTTCCAGGCCACGGGCACAGCCATTCCCTCTTCAATGGTGCTCTGGATCCCGCATATGGCCATGGAGATCACTGCCACAGTCACGAGGTGAAGCATGGTGCTGCCCATAGCCACGACCATGCTCACGGCCACGGCCACTTCCGTTCGCACGGTGAGTACGGCTGAAAACACCTTCAAACACCAGTTGTGTAGATCACTTCTCTTCAGTGAAAGGGCCTACTGAACGGATATTACAGTTAACTTTCTGGTGAACCATTTGGGTCCTAGGATTGCTTTTTAGCATATTCGGAAAGTAACTTAATATAAGGCAGTGGGTATAGTTTTTTCCTTAGTGAGTATAGCATAGTAAAGTGCCACTATTTTAACTGGATGGCAATGAATGGGGAGCAAGTGCAATTTAGCAAATGAAAATCTTGATTTTTTTAAAGTATGATGAGGCCTTTTGAAGGATATCTAGTCTTGTAAAAAGTACTACAGGGATTTTCAGTTTTTCACATTTTTATTGTAATGTTTTTATGTTTAACACCTGATGTTGACTTTCATGTTCCTTTAGAAGTCTCTAGATGCTAACTTGTGTATCTTTAGATATGAGGTTATAAGGTACTTAGCAACTTAATATTTAGAATTATATTTTATGTAGTTTATTCATGAATTCTAGAGGCTAGATTAATAGGTGGCACAATGCGTTGAATGTTTAAATTGATTTTATGTTTTAGTGTTATTTGTATTTGCTGTAGAGACAAAATCCTAAAGCTTTTGATTTGAAAATCTGAAAGGCACCGTGAAGATTTAAGTACTTTATTGAAATATAATTAAAATACAAAAGCATACATATCTAATGTATATAATTTGATAAGTTTGGAGCTAAGTATTCAAATTAAGCCTTAAATTTATCCATGACTACTGAAGCTTTCTTCCTGCCCCCTTTATTTTTCTTCTAATTTATTGTGATGAGAATATTTAACATAAAATCTACCCTCTTGGCAAGTGTTTTAAGTATGCAATACAGAATTAGCAGTAAATACTACTATGCTACACATACTGCTAGGTCTCATCTAGAAAGGTGAATAGGTTGTAACTGAAACTTCGTACCCTTCAAGGAACAGTTGTCTATCTCCACCTACTCCAGCCCCTTGTAACCAGCATCTCACTCCGTTTTGATAGTTTGACTATTTTAAATTCCTCATAGAAGTAGTGTTAGGTAGTATCTGTCATTGTGTATCTTACTCATTTCACGTAGTGTCCTCCAGGTTCCTCCTTGGTGTCCCAGATGGCAGATTACCACAATAACTCAGCCTTCCTTTTTAAGGCTGAATAGTAGTATTCTGTTGCAAAACATTTCTGAGCCATTCATTGGTCACATTCTTCTCTGTCTTGACTGTGGTGAATAAATCTGTAGTGAACATGGAAATACAGATATGTCTTTGAGACCCTGCTTTTAATTCCTTTTTGATATGTGCACACACTGTGATTGCTGGTCATGTGATACCTGTTTTTTTGAGCACACTTTACATTATTTTCCATAATGGCCGCACCAACCCACATCCCTTTAGTATACAAGGATTCCCTGTTCACATCTTTGTCAGTACTTCTTGTCTTATTGTCCTTTTTTTTTTTTGCTAGTAGCCATCCTAACAGGTGTAAGATGATATCTCATTGTAGTTTTGATTTGAGTTTCCCCTTTAATGATGTTGAATACCTTTTCATGTCTGGTAGCTCTTTGTACATGCTCTTTCTGGAGAAGGGTCTAATTCAGGTCCTGTGGCTGTTTTTAATCAGGTAATTTTTTCTTGAGTCTGTATGTTGGATATTAGCTATCAGATGTATAGTTTGTAGATGTGTTCTGCCATTCTGTAGGTTACATTTTCCTTTTGTTTGTTTCATTTGCTGTGCAGATACTTCTTTGTTTGATACAGTAATATCACTGATCTGTGTCTTGATGTCCGTGTCAGTCTCTAAAATTTGCCATATCTTTAAATAATATGCTTACTTTTTTAATGTTTTGCTTACATGCATCATCCCAAATTAATTTTGAAAAATTATGTGTCCTTCACACATTTATAAAATAGTTTCTAAAAAGTTTGGTTGAACAGTTGTGAAGAATATAACTCTGGCACATTACTGATGAAAATCTACACCATTCTATTGAATATATGCAGTTGACTCTAACTACTTCAGTGATTGGAGACATCATTACTCGTTCAAGAACATATAAACAGTTGTGAATTTTACATTGTTGGTTTCTTGTAGTCTGACATTACACTTCTTTCCCAGAATTTTGTGGTAACAGAGTATGTTTGTGTTGTCTTTGACGACATCTGTTATATTTCTTAGCAATAAAATATGTATGTATTTTATTTATCTTCTATAAACATAACACCTAGCATTCAGAGATTTTTTGTGAGTGGAATAATTGCAGTTAATACAGGTATAAAGTCAATCAAAATAGTTCTGCACATTTTAACATATAGTTATTAATCGTAAAAAGGCAACATTTTATTGGAAATACATATTTGAGATGATTAGAGCTTATTTTCAAATACTTAATAGATAAATAATACTTGTTTGCATAAAATAGGTTTTGAGAAGAGTGTGTTTCCGTATTTCTTCATCTTTATAAATGTAAGTACTAAGAAGTCTGAAGTAAAAGGGATTCCTTTTTAGCAGTTTCAGTTAATTCGTAAGACACCTTTGGAATTATGCTCTAAAAGTTACAGTGCTGTAACATGGAAAATATCTTTCCCAGTGTTGGATGAAAGCCATGGCTCTTTGCATGCTGGGAAGTACCCTACCACGCAGCAGCACTCGCAGCCCCAGGTTGTTCTTAATGATTTGCTAACTGGGAGCGAATTAATTTCTGCGCCGCATTAAAAGCGAAGAATTAGGCACCACATTGCTCACAAAAGCATTCGCTGGCCAGTCGCCAGAGTCATTGCTTTCCTAGTGTTGGTATCTGTACTTTAAAGTGACACCTGTGTGTTGCCCTAGAATCTTTTTTTACACTTTGAGCAGTTCTATAATAAGATTCTATGTCAGTGAAAGGTTGCTGTGTTTTGGTCAAGGAAAAGGAGACGAGTGAGTGGTAAAGATTTGGCATAATATTGGGCTTTTCTTGGTTCAGTTTAGAAAAGCGTTTGAATTTCATGAATCTAGAAAATGCATTCACTACGTGTATTTTTTATTGATTAACTGGAATACTTTTCTTGCCCTTAAAATTGTGAACAGTTTCTATTTAGGGGAGTCAGTGATTGCAGAATGTGCAATGTACCATAATAATATAACTCTAGAATTAACCTAAGTTTTTCAACTAATTGTTTATGGGATTAAGTATAGAAAAAATATTAAAAAGAGAAAGACGTCTTCTATTAATGAAATTAATTTTTGCTGTCTTTCTACTTAAACGGACTGTAAGTTTCTTGAACAAAGGATTGTGTTACTGACCTTTTTATTAACAAGATTCTAGCACAATTCCTAGCATAGAAATAACTCAGTGAACACTTGCTGTGTTATAAAAGTATATGTGCCATTTATATTTGTTTGTGTTATTAAATTGTTGAATAAATTTTCTCCAGATTTTACTCTTCTATTCCCTATCCTAAAACAAGTAATATAAGTTGAATAGTCCTTATTCAAAATGCTTTGGACCTGAAGTGTTTCAGATTTTTTTTTTAAGATTTTGGAATATTTCCATAGGTTTTACTGTTTGAGCATCCCTAATCTGAAATCTGAAATTATCTAAAAAGAATATAAACCTAATTTTCATTGTTACAATTACTTGGTGGAGAGGTCTACTAGAAAGACTTTTTAACTTGTATTATAAAGTCACATTTTATGTTCAAGTTTTAATAAGATACTTTACATACTTGTTTTGGTAGTCTAGGAGCAAATGTTTAAAAACTTTATCCAGTATCTGTTGGGAGTTATTTATGATATCTTGATGCGTATTTCAATCATCATTATCATCATAAGCCATACTGGTTATTGCTAGCAGTTTTGCTAGCATGTTCCAGGCATAGTCTAAGTAATTTACATATGAACTTTTTCAGTTTTCTCACAATCTAATAAGTACAACTATTGCCTCCATGAACTGAGGCACAAAGAAATCGTAGTAACTAGTAAATTAAAAGCTGGGATTTGCATGAAGATAATTGGACTTCAAAATTTGTGCTTTTAACTGTTATTCACCTTCCAGTATTGTGTAAACTAATGAGAGCATTCAAAAGGAATAGGGCCACGGCTATAATCCCAGCCCTCACTGAGGAGGCTGAGGCAAGAGGATCACTGGGAGTTTGAGGCCAGCCTGGCCTGCAAAGTGAGTTCAAGGCCAGGCTCAACTACGTAGCAAGACTCTGTCTCAAAGCAAACAAAACAAAACAAAAAAGAATACGGTCATTGAGTATTGCATTTTGTCCAAAAAGAGGAATGTGGTCATGATTTCATTTTGTCCAGAGAGACTAATCTCTGGCAAATATATAGAGCCTTGTATTTATTGGAAGCTAGCTGTAATTAAAAGAAAACAAAAGGAGCTGTTCTCAAACTTCAGTACGGTAAGCAGTAAAGGTGTTTTTAAATTACTCTGAAGTTGGTAAGGGTACTGTATTCCCTGTGGCAATTTGGGGATTTAGGCTCCTTCCGTCTGTGGGATTCTCCTGTTGGAATCCTCCGCTGGACTTTGTGCATGACAGTAGAAGGAAAATACATATATGATCAAGTTGAGCAGTCTCCAACCTTTTTGGCCTCAGGCAGTGGTTTCATGACCGAGGCTGGGAGATTTAAAAACTTCTTAAAATATGTAATTGCTTAGTTTCTGTTGTTGTTAGTCGTATATGTTTGCAGTACATAATTAGACTCTCTAGCACTAGCATCACCGCCTCAGCTCCACCTCCAGTCATTAGATTCTCCCTCCCATCTGTTAATGTTACGGGAGGCGGAGCCCCTATGATGTCAGGATTAGCGGAGGCTGTAGGTACAGGTGAAGCTTCTGGTGGCAGCTGCTCGCCTCCTGCTCTGCAGCCTGCTTCCTCACAGGCCACACACTGGTCTGGAATGGTCTGAAATGGTGTGATCTATGGCCTGGGACTGGGGACCCCAATGCTGAACATTCTTATGAGCCTGGTGGTAGTCTACAGCTCATATTTCTTTGTCCACAACTCAGCCATAGAGCTCCACGTAATTTAAGGAGGCCTAGGAAATACAATTTAGTTGCGTACCCCAGAGGAAAAATAAATGAGTTTGGTAAGCAACTAGCCAGTCCCTGCCGCAGATAACAAAATATACATCCGAAAGGACTTTCAGGTTTTACATAGTTGGGAATTATACTGTCTTATGTAACTGGTAGTACAACAAAAGTATAGTAAGTCCTTGACTTACAAACATTCGAGTTGTGAACTTTCACGGGCGCCCTTTGTAAGAGTCACAGATACACTCTAAGTCTCACTTTGTCGGATGACAGGTGAATCCAATCACGAGCAGAACTCGTTCGTAAAGTACATATTGATGGGCTGTTGGTGTAGCTCAGTCGGTAGAGTGCTTGCCCAGCATGAGTAAGGTTCTGTCTGGACAATTTGGTGCCGTGATGAAGAGCTGGATTTTTATAGTAGTTGTACTTTTCTCTGTCCACAGGATTTTCCTGTCAGTTACATCTTCTTACAGCAGTACTTTTTACAGTAGTACGTGGTACAGCAGGGCCCGTCTGGACAGAAAATACTATTCAGGGTTAAGCTTTTATATGTGCTGCCTTGCTGCAGCGCCGCGTTGCTGTGCTCTGTCAGTGCCGCAGTGGTAAAGATACACATGATTGGTCTTTGGTGCTGTGCGCCAAGAACCAATGGCTACAGACAGTTAGTTGTGATCAGAAAGCCTGCTCGTCCTCCTGATAATTCCTTTTCCCTTTTTGCTTGTATTTTCTGCTTCAGTGTAAAGCTAATAGTAATCATTAAAACACTTGTGTATAGAAATAATAGTGTCTTTTCATAAGGGCCAATTTTTATGAAAGTATTTTTACCTCTTCTGTATAAAAATCTTGCCATATCCATCTAGAAGCGGTTGAAAACTACTATCTGCCATAATCACATTATCCTGGATTCTGTTCTGGCTTCATTTCTTGGACCTCTTATAACTTCAGGCAGTACATTTAGTTTTGTCTGAATTTTCTGCTTGTAAAAGTATCAGATTTTTAAGGAATATTAGCAGATTTTCACAATGTTTTGCATTTCTTGTGCTTTTTATTGTATTAATATAATAACTTCCAAAATAATCCTGTCCTTGCTTTTTAAAATTGCTTCCACTGAATTAACTTCTACTCAGTTACTTTATTAAATTTTAAAAATGATTTTGTAGGTCTGATGTGGCTATATAGTCACACGTCCTTCCTGAGACAGTTGAATGAAAAGGACTCTGAATTGCAGAAATTTGAATCAGGAATTGAAGACACATTTTAAAATAATTTAACTTAATTCTCTACAGATGGTCCCTCCTTAAAAGAAACAGCTGGACCCAGCAGACAGATTTTACAAGGTATGGTAAGCAATTTGCATGTTTTTTAATTTTATGAAACTAGTTTTCAGTTGTCTGAAGTTTTCTTTTAGGAAAAATTCATAATGTATTGTTTATGTTTAAACTATTATTCTTTCTAGGGATGATTTTAAGTATGTGTGCTATTAGCAGGTAGTCGTCTGTACTTGATAGTGCAGGTTTAATAAGAAAAGCATAATAGCCAGAATTTGTGCTGCTTTAATATAAGTAATACCAAGATCTATGATGATAGTGACATTATAATAGTAAGTTTGGGGCTGGGGATTTAGCTCAGCGGCAAAAGCGCCTGCCTGGCAAACGCAAGGTCGTAAGTTCGGTTCCCGGTACCGGAGAAAAATTAAAAAAAAAAAAAAAAAAAAAAATTAAAAAAAAAAATAGTAAGTTTGCCTTCGTAGCATTATTACATAGTTTCTCTGAAATTCACATTCAGTATGTTCTAATATGTAATAATTTGAACTAAAAACATGCAGCAAGTAGAACCTCTGTCATATTTGTAAGCATCAGTTAATGATACCTACACGAGAGGTTATGGATCGCCTAACGTGGTTCATTACAAAACTTTACGAGCCAGGGAAATCAGTCTTGTCTGTGAACTATGCTTCTTTTTTGGGGATGTAAACCAGTCTTAGGTGCTGAATTTCTGTTTAGATTTTATTGTCAAAGTTTCCTAATTCTCAGGTCTGTCTTCTGGCCTCTATGAACTTGACTTCAGTCTGACTTTCTCCATAGCTTCTGATCTAGTCTCTATTGCATCTGTTTTTCTTCTGCCTATTTTTCTTCTGTTACTTGATCTAACTCTTGCTTTTTATTTTTTTTACTGAGAATATGTTCCCTCATACTGAGTGTTATGAGAAGGCTTACATGTGTATGTCTCCCGGTCACTACTTTTCATTTATAAAAAATATAGAACTTTTAAGAACAGATTGCTGAAATAGCTTGTATCATGCGTATTTGATGCTGCTATATCAAGTGATACAAGTTAACTTTCATTTTTAGTTTTGAAAGTGATCATAAGAGGAAAGAAAGTTAGCCTACTTCCTAATCATCTTTTATGAAAGCCGTTATGAATATTCACCAATTTATAGTGGCTAAAGCAGGCTAGTGGGTAGCCAAAGACAGAAATTAAATCTGTCCTGCAAAACAACCATGTATAAGATACCCAACAAGAAAAACTGTGCCTTGAATTTTTAACAGTAACTACATCCTAAGTAGAACACTGGGGTTAGGGAGTTTCTGAGACATTAGATTAGCAGTATCCCACCAGGCCGTCTAAAGTTTCAACTTTATAGAAGCTAATAATATTGTTTGTATATTCCTCTTTAGTGCTTTTTCTTCTTAAATATTAGTTATAATAGAGTGGAATGGATGTGGATGATGATATTTACTAATAGAACCAGTTTTCAGGTTAGCAGATAATAGGTCATCAAGGAATTTCCAATTTAAGAGAAATTAGAACAAGTAATTTTCTTTTTATTCTTTTCTGTGTTTTAAAGCTATTTTCACTTCTGATTTTGCCAAACCACTGATTAAAGAAATAAAAGTTTTAAAAACATGTATCACATAAAAGTTTGTAATTTAGGGACCTTCGGTCCCTCTTTTTTTTTTTTTTTAACGAGGTACTGGGGATTCAAACCAGGGCCTTTGCCCTTTTTACTTTTTATTTTGAGATAGGACCTCACTAAATTGTCCAAGCTGTGCTCCAATTTACGAGACTCTTGCCTCAGCCTCACAGAGTGCTGGGATTACACGTGTGTACTACCACCACATCCAGCTCGCGTGGGTTCATGTTCTATCCAGTTTTATTTTTAAAAGTTAAAGGGATTCTAACACTAATCTCTTTAATTCTTTCTTACTTGAAATACTTTAAAGAAATTGAGTATTTTAAAAGTATTTTCTGGCAATGTTTTTGTTATAGAAAAATTTCTCTTACCTATCAACTAGCTTTCTGAAGAATGACTATAAGCCAAAACTGTGGAGATGGAAATGTATATGTAGGTAGTGAGGGATGAGTTATATTTGGTATATAGTTCATGCAAGCTACACAGTAGCAGATAATTAAAGTATAATTTCGTAGCACATACTAAGATTCAATTGGATGTAACCATAGATAGGTTTTTAAATTAGAAATATTTTTGAGTTTAAGTTTAAATCTGTTTCCGCCTCTGAAAATAACTATAGTTAACTTTTTTTTTTTGTTCAGGGAATAATAAAAAAATTTTTTTCTAATTTGGGTACCCTGCTTTTTGCACGTTAGCTATTTCTTTTCACATAGAGTAGTCGATGATACTGAAGAATTTTGTAATTTTACCAAGGCATAGCTGAAGTTTAAAAGATAGTAAATAATTTTTTATACAGTAAATTTTACTCATTAAAGAACTAAGTTAAAGATCTTGATATTTTTAATGGTTTTCCAGGCAAGTGTCACTTTTGAAATGTTAGTATTATAGCTGGATTCTTAGGTAGCTACGTATAGTATCTGTGTTCTACTACTGTAACATTTATTATTAAAAATTCACATATTTATACTCATTTTAAACTGTTCACATCCCTTCTTTTTCATATTAAGTTTAAGCACATTATATATAATTTGGGTAACAAAACCCTTAGGTTAATTAATGAATATATCAGAATAAGTAGATTAGAGTCCATAGAAAATTCTAGTCCCAAATGGTAATAATTTTAATCACCATCAGAGGGCTCTGTGGGCACATGTATTTGTAATTACATTTTCTAGACTAATTCTTTGAACCTAATACTGTTTCCTTCCCCAAATGACTAAGTTTAGTACTTTCTTAAGACAGAGATGAATGGTTACAATTTTTAAAATCAATTAAGAGGATGATACTAAGAATATTTTAATTTAATGGACCAGAAGACAATTATCTTTTCATTATCTTTATCTCTAGGTGTATTTTTACACATTCTGGCAGATACACTGGGGAGTATTGGTGTCATTGCCTCAGCCATCATGATGCAGAATTTTGGTCTGATGATAGCAGATCCCATCTGTTCTATCCTTATAGCCATACTTATAGTTGTAAGGTAAGTGTTGTTACGATGCTTTCAAGTAGTAAAATGAGTGATAAATATGCAATTTAAGTTAGAGACCTAAAGTACAAATTATTATGTTGCTTTTCCTTTGGTCTTTAAGAAATTCCTGTGTCATAAATTCTCTTCTCATATTTATTTGTTCTTTTGTATGTGTGTATGTTTCTCATTTATTTTTTGCCTGAAGTTTGACATTGCATTTTGGTATTTGGCAATTAAGCTTTTGATCATAATTCAAATCAGTGATCATTTTCTTAAATCTAACACTGTATTTGTAGAGTGTAATATCCAAAATGTAAACTGTATTACTTGGAGTTAGAATTTATAGTTAGCATCTGTATCTATATACTGTAGATGTTTGCATCTTACACTGTCACATGCAAAAGAATGTCAGAGTCTCTTCTACTAAAATTATTTTTAATTATAAAGTCACATTATCGTTGCAGAAGTCTTGTAAAAATGCTTTCTGAAATAAATTGATGCCTGTGTCCCCATCAAGGTTATAAAATTCTTGAGGAAACATCTGTGTCTTAGCTCTTAGTCTTCTTTGTTGCCTATTACAGTGCTAGTGTATGTATAAAGGTAACTGTGCAGGTGCGCAGACTCTCAGTAAGTGCCGAATTGACTTGTACGGTTATTGTCACTATACGCCTCTTACCCACTGCACCACGTCACTAGCCGTTGAAACATTTTTTTGAGAAGGGTCTCACTAAGTTGTCTGACCTGGGCCTGAACTTGCAGTCCTACTTCGAGATCACAGAGTGCTGGGATTACAGGTGTGTGCTGCCACATCTGGCCTGTTAAGTTAATTTTTATCAGAATAATGGGAATATGTTCTCAGGGTGTTTTATTTTTCCATTTGATTTTACTCTCAGTAGAACTTCTTTGCAATAAAAAAAGAGACCTACTTGAAGTCAGTCTAATGAATTTTATAGCCCATAGCTGAGTAAATTTAATAGATGATGATAAATTACAAGTTTTTGCTTTTTGTTTGTTTGTTTGAGACAGGGTCTCACTATGCAGTTCAGGCTGGCCTTGAGCTCATTTTGTAACCCAGGCTGTCTCAAATTCCTAAGGATCCTCCTGCCTCAGCCTCCCAAGTGTAGGATTACAGGTGTGCACCACCACTTCTGGCGATAAATTATAACATTAAAGTTGGTGATAAATGGATATTTTTAAGTTTCTGCTAAAATAGAGTATACATTTTGAACATACAGATTAGTTTATAATGTCTTTGAATTATTTGTACATGGAAGCAACTCAGCTATATGAAAGTCTTTCTAAAGCTTAGAATGTCTTCATCTTTGGAAATCTTAGTACACTTCCGGTACTAAGCTTACTTCCGGTGAGTTCAGCTTAGTTTTAATTTACACTATAAAACCTAACTCGATAGATTTGATAACTCAACTCCTTATCCTTATGGGTACATTCAGTTCATTTCATTATGAATTGTAATTCTTAGTTGCTTCTAATATTTTTTAGAGTAGCTTCCTGTTCCCTTTGTCTCCGCTAATATTACCCTGATTCTGGCTAGTCGTATGTTTTGCTTGAGAAACTATGACAGTCTCCAGGTCGACTTGTGTCTCACTGAAGAATTCACGCTGGCTAAAATTATTTTTCTTTAGTGAGAATTATGTGATGTATAAACCCGTCTGTGATTCTTTCCCTCAGATTAGAGTCCAGATTCCTCAACTGAGCTTCACAATGTCCCTGTTTACCTCTTCAGTCTCTCTCTTGCTCCGTGCTTCTCAGTTCAGGCGTTTGTAGCCACAGTAAAGTATTTTCCGTTTCCTAAATATATTATGAGTGTTCAGGGTTTTACTCATATTTTCTCTCCAAAATACCCTTAAACACCTCCTGCCTTCCCCGCCCAACCTTGCACCATTCAGATCTGAAACAGTGCCCCTTCGGGAGGCATTTTCTGGTTCTTCACCTCCTGGGATAGGCTAAGCACTTTCTGTGACCGTGCCCTTTCATGGCGTTTCCTGAATCTGCGTAGATGGTCTGTATTATTCTGTCATTCCAGCCCTGTGAAGGCAAGCTGTTTTACTGTGTCTAATTCTGCCTGGAAAAAGTTGGCACACTTTGAATCTGAATCAAGAGAAAATTGTGTTTTTTCGACCTTAGGGAATTACTTCTATAATCCCAAACAGGGAATTCTTAATAATTGCGGTCTCATTTATTTTATTCCACAAATATAAATGAATAAACATACACAGAGGAAGCCTTTTTACTGAACTATAGCACAATTTTTAGATTATCTTCAACAGATACTTAGCAGTTAGGCCTTCTTAGCCTGGTGTTGAGAAAAGACAAGAACCCAAGATCACTACTGTTTAGCTTTTATATTATAATGGGAAAGAGAGCTAAACAAATTAATAAATAAACCATTCAAATATCAGTTATTTGTGTTGTACAGATTAAGTGAAGACAGTTGAGTGGTTTCTTTAAACTTAGTGATAGAGGAAGAGTTCTGAAGTGGGGTCTTTAAGCTGAGATCTGCATGTCCCAGAGAGCTCATCAGAGAAAGTGCTTTCTCGTTTAGGGACCTGGTAGAACAAAGGCCCTACGGTGAGAACAGCTCTGGCAGCAGAAAGAGGCCAGTCTGGCTGAAGCATAGGGAGTAAGAGGAGAGTGGCTTGAGATAAAGTTGGAGAAATAGGCCACGGAGAGTTATGCAGGGTTAGCAGTTTGGATTTGATTTCAAGCGCAATGGAAAAGTATAAAGAAGTGACAATGTTTGAGTTAAATTTTTAGAAGAAACTGTTACTGAAATATAGGGGACAAAAGTGTAAACAGGCAGACGAGCTAGAAACTTGTTGTTGTGGACCAGTAGGAGGGCCAGGTAGGAGGCCATGGGCAGTGGAGTGGTGTACATGAAGTTAGAAAACGCTTTGGGGGTGGAGCTAACAAGATTTCCCCCTGGATTCGACTGTCCTGGTTAGTGCGGAGTGGACAGAGAATCAGTGATAGTCCTGCGAGTTTTTACGTGGGTAGCCGGTGAGGACGATGTCATGAGTGATGTTTCTGCTAGTTTTTGAGGGAGACTCCAGGTCAGAGTTCTACTTTGGTTATTATAACTTTGAGATCTCTCCTTAGACATTTATGTGGATATTTCCCGCAGGTATGAGGGTGTAAATATGAAATTCTTGGTAATGGTCAGCTGAACATAAGGCATCAAAAACAGTTCACGTATAGATGTAAAAGTCACGGAGTGGCATTCGTCTGGCATTACTGCCACCTTTCCTGGTCCTTCTTTTTCTCTGGAAAATGCCCCTTGGCATGGTGCTTGTTCCTGCGCCGCCGTCAGCTTCAGAGACCATTTCAGCACAATGTTTCCGGCAGCACAAGCAGCCAGTTACACTTAGCTTCTGGGGTAGAACTTATTTCTAATCTTTGTAGGTCCTACTGACTCATAAAAGTTTTTTTCTCATTTACATGTATACCTAGCTTCTGGTTGTATAATTTGATTTCTCGTCATTATTGTGGATTCCTTTTTATTACTATTAAGCTCTAATATTTGTATTTGGTACAAATACTCTTTTTAACAAACTAATCAATGGAGTGTAAAAAGTTCATTACTGGAATATATGATGTAGCTGTGTAAATGTTTCATAATTCCATCTTTGGAGATAACAGATAACTTTACTATGTGTTAAAATCTTTCAACAAATGTTCTGCTGCCTACTCATTGCCAGGCAGTAACGACATGGGCAAATAAATAAATGCCTACCCTGGTGGAGCTTACATTTTAAGAGTGGTTCATAACACCGGTGACTATGCACGTAGATAATGTCGTGTTAATCGGTGACAAATGCTATGAAGCAAGGTTAGGAGGTGCTATTCATAAAGGCCTTAGAAGTCCCCTGCGTGAGGTGACATGTGAGCAGGGGCCTGAGTGGTGGATGGAGTGCAGCGGACTGTTCAGAGGCGCAACGTCCCTGGCAGAGGGACCTTCATTTGTAAGCTGGACCGAGGCAGGGGCGTTCCTGACGTGTGTGAGGATCAGAAGTGGGGCAGTGTAGCTGGAGTCGTGAGCAGAGGAGGGTGGTGGATGTAGGCCTGTAGTTCAGGGCACAGGGTGGGTGGGAGATACAAATTTGGGTGTCATCACCTTCTGTGGTACTTAAAGCCCTGAGTGTGGAGAACGAGTGTGGCGAAGAGTCGGCGGCTACGCGCTGTGGGGATGAAGTGCAGAGCCGTGGCAGCGGCGAGGAAGGTGTGGGATGTCTGAAGTGGGAGGAACGGCCTCAGCCTTGAAAGTCGTGAGAAGTTTTCTCAGACAGAAGGGAGTAATCGACCCCGTCAGGTGTTCCTGGAATGGTCGTTGTAACTTAGCCCGGCCACTCTGAAGAGCGAGAAGAGTGAAAGCCTGGCCAGGGGACCTCCAAGGAGAGCCGGGGAGGAAATGGCAAGGGCAGCTTGCTGTGAAGCGGGTGCGTGACCGCCTGCCAGCACCGAGGGCCCACCCTGAGGGCTGTGGTCACGAATTCAAAGTGAAAGCAGCTAGCACAGTTGGATGTTCTTCTCCAGTCTCACTGAGCTGCTCCCTGAAGGTTATGGATTAGGCAGAGGTGGATTTAATAGGTTTGGGCTTTGGTGGGCGAGTGCTGACAGTGAGAAAGGGACAAGGCAGGGGGGAACCAAGACTTAAGTATGATGCTGCATGCTTTAAAGAGTGACGGGGCGGTGGGTGAGAGGTTCTGTGGGGAGGTCATCCTGGCACAGGGGGGTAATTCAGACCGTGAAGTACTTACAGGGTGCGTCTGTGTGGGTGAAGAATTGAGACATCGTGTAGAGGCTAAGGGATGGATGAATTGTGCACGTGGATATTTAGATCAGGAATAATCAAAGGGTAGAGGGAGAAAAATGATAAACCCACTGCGAAGCACTTCTGTGACGGCAGGGGAGTGATGAAGAGCTGTCACCCTGGTGTCAGGGTGGGCGAAGCGTGGGATAACCTGCCGGGCGTGCGCGCCTGCACTTTGCGGGCT